CTCATCTCCCACTGTGTTCAAGGTGTGACATTTATAAATTCACCGAAGCGCTCGGCTTTTCAGCAGCTTACCTCGTCTGTTCCTCTGACTGACAGTGACTGATATTTAAATCTCTTATTATCCACAAAATGTCAGATGAAGCCGCTCGCTATCACCAGCGACTCCTGCTCCTCATGACGACCCTCTGCTCATGTTTTATAGCCCTCTGCCCACACACACACACACACACACACACACACACACACACACACACACAATGGGCCTTCCATGGTAAACATGCTGTCTGTTGCTTCAGTGAGGCTTCAGTGATTATCTTTACATCCACAGTACAAATGTCCTGTAGTGACTGAAGCTCAGGCACGAGTCACTTTCTACATCAATCCATGCATCAGCAGAGCAGAGGTGAGGTTTCCCTCAGCAAACATGCTGCACTTGCTCTGTTTGTGCAGGTCCATTGTGCCTTAATGGCAGGATTACACACACACACACACACACACACACACACACACACACACACACACACACACACACACTCACACACAGTACGCTATCATCATCCCACACTGGTGTCTGAATGTCACTGAGTGATTTGTTATGAAACCTCTGCAGTGACAATGGGTTGTGGAGCATTTGTGTGTGTGTGTGTGTGTGTGTGTGTGTGTGTGTGTGTGTGTGTGTGTGTGTGTGTGTGTGTGTGTGTGTGTGTTGACGAGCCTTATCAGAACACACACACCACACCAGTGACATCAGCTACAAGTGTGATTATTTTGTGAGTAAAATATTTGGTACCACTTCACAATCAGACTCCCCTCATAAAGGATTTATGAATGATTTATAACTAGTTTATTAATTAACTTGTTTACACATTTATAAACTGTTATAACACATTTGATAAAAAGGGGCGACAGGGACCTGCTGCTTGCCAAATAGTGAGCCCACGTCTCTTTGTTTTTCTCCCTCATCCAGCAACACATCACATCACCTTCATTAAGACTCCTTTTTACCAGTTATAAATGTAATATAGTTTTATATAATATCTCTTTAACAGAATTGTTTATTTATGATTTATAAAGTGTTAAGAACTGAACTAATTCTAACTCCAGTTTTTTAGTTGTGAACACAAAAACAAAAACAAAAGGACGTTGTGACGACGAAACCTTCAAATGTGAAGAAAAATATTTTCTTTTTGTGACATAATTTGAGGAGTCAGGTCGTTTCTCACTGACGTCAGCGCCCGACCGCTCTAATCTCATTTACTGTACATTGTATTTAAGGGACGACCTTTCAGGTTTTTGTCTCTATTGTTTCATGACAGACTCGTCGTCTCCTTCTGTGTTTGTGAACCTACGAGTGAGTGTTTCTCTGTGTGGCTCTGCTTCTTCATGTGCATCGGTTTAAAACCCTGAACAAACACCAGCCGACAACAAGCAGAGAAAACAACCTGACCGCACGTCGAAGGCCTTGAAAGAGATGATCTGGACACAAAGGCAAACACAGAGCACCAGTGTTTACTTTACCTAATGTGAAAGACGACGGTTCATACACTGAGAGAAACTGGTTCTTCATTAGTTCATAAAATCCCTGTGAACTTGATTTGATTTTCTATTTATTTTATTATTATTATTTTAATATGTATACTCTTTTATTCTTACTTTAGGAAAGGGAGGGGCCAAAGTGTTGTTTTAATGTTTTCATTATTATTTATTTATTTATTTATTTGTTTTTCTTCACCATAGATTTCTGTCATTTGTATAAATGCAGATTGTGTGGACCAATGTTGTGCTGAGCTCTTTGTTGTTGTTTTATCTTTTGTTGTTGTTAAAAAAACAAAAACAAAATATACAAAAAAAGGATTTTCAGCAGATAAATGGACTTAAATCTGCTTTGTTTTATTTTTCTGAACAACAAATCACCGTCTTCTCCGATCGCTGCTGAAAACCTCCGTCCATGCTGCGCCGAAATAAAACATATGTGACATCACAATGTAAACGTCTTTACATTTAGCAGAACTGGTTTTCCACATCGGTCATAAAATCAGTGTGAAAGTTTTGCGCTTGTTTGGTGGAAGTTTAACTTGGTCACTTTACTGTCTGTAAGAGATAATGTTTCTTTTCTTATATATTCTGCTTATGTCTCTTCTTTTAAGTGAAGTCAAGGGCATTTATTATTTATATCAACTGTAACTTATAACAGTTTGATATTCCAGGCTTCAGTGAGTCTGTGATTGGCTGATAGTGAGTCAGGCTCTCCACTGTTCAAATAGATTAAACACTGTGATTCAGCTCAGCAGCAGCTTGGTGTAATGAGCAGGTGGAAGCAGGAGAGGGCAGCAGAGACAAAGTGATCGGGGTCCTGCTACAAAGGCTGATAAATGTCCACTACGGCTGCCATCATAAATGTAGAATCAGTCATCAGATCATCAGACAGAAAAGTGAAATATAATGCTTTTAAATAATGATCACAGATAAATCCACCTGACACTTCTATACGGCAGGTGACACCTGTGGATCAGAGAGCTGTTTGTTGGCTGAGGGACGGCTGCAGGAGCTGTATATGTTTAGACTGTAATATTAGATAAGTCACGTGTGTTTCCATATGAATCCTGCACCGTCCAGCGCTGCTGTAACAGCTCGTGGTCGTATCCCTCCGCCACTCAGACTAGATCCAGGTTGAGTAATGGCTTAAAAGTGTTTTCTGAGGTCACACTGACCTTTGACCTTCAGCTACCAAAATCGAATCAGTTTGTGCCAAAGTTCCTTCAAGGTGTTTCTGAGATATCGTGTCCACGAGAACGGGACGGACAGACGGACAAACCTGACAGTCGCCGGTTGGGAGGAATAAAAACAAACAACAAGTTTTCTCTTGAAAATCTACAGTAACTGTTTTTCCTTAAAGGAAAAAAAGGCAACACATCTCTCATTGCTGTCCAAAGCATGACGAGAGGAAGCAGCTGAACGTTTCCCAGGAAGAGCCGATTATAACTTGTACAGTTTGAACCAGGAAGTGAAATCAAACATGTAATTATTGTTCTCCAACTGAGGGGAAAGGAGCTCTTGGGTTTCAGTCAATTAACCACGCAGCGAAGCGTCACGGAGGCCGTACGGTCCGACAGTATTCGCTCAGTCTCTGCGGCGCCACACGGAGGAGCTACCGAGGAAAACGTCTGCGTTCAGCCACGGTGCCTCTGGATCAGTGGAGGGGAATTCAGCTGCTTTTCAAACAAAAGACTCATAGAAGATCTGCAGGTGATTTCAGCCCAGTCTCTGACACCGGCAGTTAAAGACAAGTGGGTCGGATTAATGTTGATCACACCTGGGAAAGCTCCCACGCTGAGGAGGAGCAGAGTGGAGGAGGAGAGGAGGAGCAGAGGAGCAGAGGAGCAGAGTGGAGGAGCAGAGTGGAGGAGCAGAGTGGAGGAGGAGACCAGAGGGAGGTCTGAACTCACAAGGAACTAAACTCACTTTCAGATATTCAGTTTAAAGCTGTCGACACCAAACTGCAACAAAAGGTTTGTAAAAATCCCTCTGATTAAACACACTTCTTACTTGTGTGTTCACTAGCAACACACACACACTCACACACACTCACACACACACTTAGCCATGCCATATGGAGCCAAGCAGCATCAAGTGTCATGCCTGCTCCACACAACACACACCCAGTCGACCGTACCTTTGTTTTCTTTTTCTCCACTGCGTTATCCCTCCATCATTTCTCTCCTCTTCAGGTTATTCCGAAGCAGAATCTCTCCATCCACGACTCGCTCTGACGAGACATCTTTAAGGCATCTTTACAGCCGGCGGCGTCGACTCACATCCCCTCTCTCTCTCTCTCTCTCTCTCTCTCTCATAAAGCCTCCCACTCAGTCCCCCTCTCCTAGACCAAAGAGATGCTTGTGAATATTTAATGGTGCTATTGTGCTCGTGTGTGAGCGAGTGAATGGGCAGCATTGGCAGCGAGTCCGTACTTTCTGAAAGAAAAATGGTCAGCCCGCCTCGGAGCAGCAGGGACGGCGGCAGTGGGGAGGGGTCAGAGGTCACCGACCCTCACCTGCTGAACAGCTGAGCAGACATCTAGGTGTGCAGGATGCTACCTGTTACATAAAAACAACATTGAGATGAAGCAGTGCACTTTTAATGAGAGCTTACTGTGTATTTAATGGTCAGACTTATCTCCTTCTCACGCTGCAGACATGAACTCGCTGCAGCATCATCCCCGGCCGTGGTGGTGGAGAAATGAGGCAGGACCTGGCGGGACCTCCCCCCTCTCTCTTTTATAAGACAAGAGAAAAGAGAAATGGGCTGGGGGTTGCCCAACACAGGAGAGATGTAGAAAAATAAAAAAACTACACTAAATAAAAATCTTTATGTCCAACTTGAAAACCCTCGACTGAGGAAGGAGGAGAACTCAGGATGTGTATATTGTGTCATATGTTGCACAGCAATGCTAATGGCTGTAAAATAAAATGACAGTTCAATAAAGACATTGTTAAAGACAGTATATAATAAAAACCTGTATTATTTATATAAACATTGTAATTTCTACTCCTCCACATTTACTTCACAAATTTAGTCACGATTTTACTTTTCTGATCCAGATTAATAATAAAAAATATTATCCACAAATAAATTCTAACGGATTATTACAGACTATGATAAGACTTCATTGAATTTAAATGAAAACTTTCAGGTGACAGAATATTTCTACTCCAGTGTTGCTGCTTTTATTTAAATAAACTGTGGGACTACTTCTTCCACCACCGGACGTTTCACCTTCATATTCAGCTGCTGAAGCGGGAAAGTGTCTCTGTGCTCGTCTTAAATCCCAGTTTACCTCCGAGAATGATTGTGACAACGCAGCGAGCTGGTTTGGAGGCCAGTTTTTTTATTCTAACAAATATCAGACAAACTTAATTCAAGTGTAGTTTCGTGTGTTGAAACATGTGGAGGGGAATCACTCAGCAAGAAGAGAAGATTCTAGATGAGGAAACACAAAACTCCATGAAATATATTTTCTCATCTCAACATTCATCGTTATAATGTACGATGACTGATCTTGAAGATACGAGTAAATAAAGAAACAAAAAAGTGTTTGAACTTGATCTTAACAAAAAGATGACTGGACCAAGTCAGGGCAGGTTTGTCCTCTCCTGTCCTCTGGACCAGGTCCAGGTGAGACGCAGTTGAAATGTACCAGTCTTATTGATTCAATAGAATAAACACAAGGACTTATTTAATGTTTTATGGACTTTATTTCCCCGTTTTCTCTTTTAGAATCAATGCATCTTCTTTATCTTAAAAGGTAAAATAAACCAGTTTCCGTCCACAACCATAAGATCTGGTCTCTCTTCAGTTTTTTCTTTTGTTTATTGTCATATACAAAATAAGAATGGCGGCTATTTTCCACTGCTGTATATCTACTGTACAGTACTTTACCCCCCCGACCCAGTTAAGCTCTTCCTGCTCAGCCTGTCCTCCGTCCAATCACAAGCTTGTTTTACTTCTTAACGATCTGGATGACGTCCTCGTGCTCCATGATGTGCGTCAGTCCGACCCTCTGTGGGCTGTACTTGGTGCTGGTTCCCTGGACGACCAAAACAACAGGAACGATGTGTTTTAAATCAGTGAACTGGATTTTGGGAACTAACTGAACAAACTGTTAAACGGTAGCTGCAGCAATACTTACAGTTGTTTATGAGGTCTGAAAAAGAAATATGTTCTCTCTTCTGCCTCTCATGTATCATGGTTCAGTAAAACCTGCTTTAGCTTTGAGCTGAAGCACGTCTGAACCGAGGTTCCCCCAATTATTCATTTGAGGAAATTATGCAACATGTGTGCCAGAAAGCTACAGACACACATGTAGTAATATACACGCAACATGTAGTGTGTGACTGGCGCGTAGAAGCAGTTCGCTGGTGAATTGTAGGAAGGTCCGAGAAACGCCGAGACACCAACTGACCTCTCATCGGACTGGTCTCACATGACCACAGTCAGTCAGACTGCTACACAAAGCACCAGCAGCCCCCTGTAATGTTATTTCATATGTCCAGTTTTTTTTTATCTTGTTATGTCCATGGTTTTTACAGCAAAACCTATGAGTCACTGTTGGGCGCTAGTGATTTTCAAAATAAAAGTTTTTCCTTTTGATGATTTCAGAGCTGTGAGTTTTGTGCAGCTCTGATTCCACAACTGGAGGTACAGCAGTGAGCAGGTCCACATGAGAGAGTTGGTTCAAACAGTTTATGGGACAAAGGTCAAACAAGTAGATTTCCAGAAGGTCATCGCCTCTGAAAACCTGAACTTACCCAAACGAGGGCATATTTGAACTGGCTGGCTAAGGTCCTGTGGATTCGATGGCACTGCAGAGAGAAAACAACACAGTCATGTTTAAAATATAAATACTTAACCTAGGAATGTGTATTATGTATGTATGTATAAATATTCTAGGGTGATCAGATGTCCCCGGAAATGTCCGCATTTTTAACTGCGAATTTAAAAAAACAGGCGTCTAGCGCTGCGCTTGTTTTGGCCAACAGAGGGGGCTGGTCATTAGCTACAGCAGCTTCAGAAATAAAGCCAAAAATCAACAAAATTGAGTTAACCAAATAATTTTTTTCTTTTTTGTTGTTGTCTCTACGCAGAGAAAAGGTGAGCTGGCTCACTCATTGGTCAGGAGTTCAGCCAGCCAGAACTTGAAAAAACAGTTTTTATGTTGGAAGAAGTGAAGAAGAAGAAGAAGTTACTCGACTGTCTGCAACGATATTCACAACCTGGAATACTCTTCTTTTGATCTGTGGACAATTACGAACTAAAGGAATATAAATAATCGATGAATAGATAGACAATTGGACTTTGCAATAGCTTCAAATGTAGGGAGTCGTTATATCACTCGTCCTGCACCATAGTTTATTACAGTACAAGAGTTACCATGGTCAGAATACATCACCAGGACTGTCTCTCTGTTTTATTTCATGACCAAAAACATTGGATATTTTAATGATATATTGACGCCGAATTGGAAATGTTTCATGTGTTTTCATTTCAGAAATCTGGTCACCTTAGGTTCAGCTTGATATGAACAATACATGGATGCGTGCATACATATGCGTTTTACGTACCACATGTTCTACACTTGCTCCTCTTCTCATGATGATGGCATCATTAAAGTCTGGGCGCTCTGATGGAAATAATAAGAAATGGATAAAAAGTTAATTTAAAAGTGACGTATTCACGTGCATGTGACAGACGAATGGGTGAATGAGGGCAGATGCGAGCGTACCTCCTCTTTTCTTGGTATAAATGCAAATCAGCGACAGGTATTCCCACAGCGTCTCCAAAAGGTAGTCCAGGTTCAGCTTCATTCCACAGCTGAAGTCCATACAAGCAGTGAGAAGGGGGAGAGCAGTTACAGTCATTTACATACATGCAGATAGTAGTTTTGGTCGAGGGTTGTCATCTCGCTGTTATTCACACACCTGATGACCACACTGTGAGGTCTGCGAGCCAGACGGTCCACTTCTTCGATGGAGATTTGATCCACCTTATTGTACACCTGGAAATCACAAACAATATGAGGGAGAGAGAAACTACTGCAAACAAAAGACAGACAATGAGAGTGATTTTTTATGTTTTCACTTCAGGAAAAAAAAAAAGGTTTTATATGGGTTCAAAAAATTTAGAAAAATCATCTATAAACTAAAACCCTTTCAAAACAAGCCTTTTAAATAAACTGTAAACACAGACAGTGGTTAACAAAAACAGTTAAAAGGTACAAGGCTCAACATCCTGAGGAGTATTGACCTACATATAGGCAAGGCATGTAAACTCTGTTCCCAACGATGACGTCGATGAACTCGTCTGGAGTGCTGTCCTCCCTGAAGAGCACTTCTGCATTAAAGATTTCTGAGGTGGGGGTTAAAGAAATCAACCAGATGCTACTGCGAGTCGTTAAAGAGTGAAGCTGACACGTACACACTTTTGGTTTCAAACATGTTTGCCCTCTGGTTGTTGCATTTTGTTTTATAGTTCTGAATAAAAACTTGCAGAATAGAAATAATCTGTCTAAAACATCTTGTAAAGCAAATTGTTAATTCCTTGTTCCTCCACTTGACCCAAGTATTTCATTCCCTGATTTCTCCATCTGCTATACATCTCTGCAATCTAATATTTTCTACAAATTCATTTACTAGTGGGAAACCTAGAAACAGCGAGAGAGAGAGAGAGATCGTCAGGGAAATATTCTGGTGTGTCTCCTCTGTCACTGGCAGAATGAAGGATACTGTATTCGTGAAGGATGAGCTGAACGAGCTTCTCTGAGCAGTGGGTGAGAGGAACTGTGGAGTTGTAGGAGAGGCCGCCACCTTTCTTGGGCTGCAGGGAAAGTCCAAAAAAATACAAAACATTTTGACAAAGTTTAATACGACATTGCAAGGATTTACTCTGGAGATAACAGGCCTCACAAGTCATGTTATTATATTATGTCAGTTCGTTTGTCCATCCAGCACAAGCAACAACTACTAGACAGATCTCCATGAAATTAGCTGCTGATGTTCATGGTCTCCTGATACCAAATGTATGTGGTGACCCCCAAGAGATGCAAAAAGCTTACCTTGAAATAAATATTGGGTTTTGTCCTGTTGAGTCTGATCCCCACTGACTCCAACTCTTTTTCTAGAAGTGTTCTAGAGACATTTAAATAAAAGTTAAGAGCAAGTATAAGTTGATTAAAAACATTACACTCACACACCCCTCAAAGTCCTTCTAAGCAACACACAAACACAGAGCGTCACACACCTCTGAACATCTCCTTTGGTAGCATCCAACATCATGATGACAACATCTGCTGTCCTGGCAACAGCAATGACCTGCCGACCTCTGCCCTTACCTATAAAAAAAAAAAAAAAAAAAGGTCAAAGGTCAGTATGTCACGATGGCCTGGAAGCTAGGTCTTTTCTCTAAACTAAAGGAATCACAATCAGTATTTCTGACATGTAGGCAATGCTTACCAATTTGTTGTTAATCATTTATCAATAGTTCTGATAAAATTAAACCATAACATAAACAGGTACATTACAAACCTTTAATTCCAGCTCACCTGGGTTTCAAACAAATCACAACAACATGGAAGCTGATCATACCTTGAGCAGCACCCTCAATGATTCCTGGCAGATCTAGCAGCTGGATGTTGGCCCCTTTGTACTGAAGAGCATCAAATAACAGCGTAAATGACTCATCAAGTTGTTCATCGTCAATTTGAAATTGCAAATGAAAAGATATGTATTGGTGTGATGCAAGTTTACCTCTATGACGCCAGGTATGCAGGTGAGGGTCGTGAATTCATAGGAAGCAGCTTCACTGGCTGTTGATGTCATCAAACTGAGGAAAGTGGACTGCAGGACACAACAGAGTCACATTAGACCAACAGATGTTGAACCTTGGTTTTTGCTGGTTTGGTTATGTACTTTGTTTGTTTTTATTTGAGAAAAACGTGGCTCTGAGAGAAAGAACGGCATAATCTGTCTGACTGTTCAGATCCCGACCCAGAACCACTACCTGTCATCCACCATGCTGACGTACCTTACCCACAGAGGGGAAACCGATGAGTGCAACACGAGCATCTCCTGATTTCATGACATCGAAGCCCTCGCCTTTGGCAGCCGCTGACTTGGAGGGCTCCAGAAGCTGAGCTCTGTATTTGGCTAGCTTGGCCTTTAGCAAACCCAGATGGTACTCAGTGGCTGGAGGACAGAAACGCAAAAACAATCTGTTACTGAAAGGCCTATTTTTACGAGGTCTGATGACGTAAAAGGTCAATTTAAAAAGGTCAAATCATATCAGAGTTTTACTTGAAGGTAAAAATGATAATAGAGGATTGTTCCTTTAATTGTTGTGGTCAATGTTATCAAGATAAATATGTCAATTCGCGCGCCTGACTTTGAGATATTAATGAGTTACATTACACTGACAGCACATACACACACACGCACATACACGCACGCACAGCTGGCTGCAAGTTCATCCATGATGTAGCTAACAGTTAGCTGCTTAGTCTGCTCTCTGTCACCTTTGTTTTTCTGTGTCCGAGAAATTTCTTTCTCTATTTCCGCGATTTTCTCCAGGATCCCCATGGCGGCGTTTCAGGTGTTGCTCCAGCTACACTGTCAGAGAGAAAATAAAACACAAACGTGTCACTCCACAGTTGTTAGCTTTGTTAGCCTCCCGGCTAACCGGCTAACAGTGCTACCAAACAGTTAGCAAACCGCAACAAGAGCAGTGAGTCAGCAAGTGGAGCTTTAAATGAGTATCCGCAAAAAACACATGTGATGTCAGGAGTTTAAAATAATGTAAAATGATAGATATTTACACTTTAACAGAGGCTACACTCCGCGGCATGCACACTTAACCGACATCACCAACCGGAACACCGTTCCGTTCCCGTCATAGGTCCGGGAGAAACAAGGAAACGCATCCGGACGAAACTTCTGCCCCGTGTACTTCTCTCGTTCACATCGTTCGCCGGTGTTAAGGAAGTGAGCAGCTTCACCGTGACGAGAATACAGTATTAATTAGAGATAATGCGTCCATCCGCAGGCGGTGTGTTTCCTGGTGTGTTTCCTAGCGCGTCTCACTGTCACAGCTCGGTCAGTCATTAGGTAATGTAGAGAGCGAACATGGCTGCGCCCACAGGACCGAGAGGACCGTCTGCCTCCATCCCGACCGGGTTTGAAGGTTTTCCGTTTGCGGTGGGCGGCAGAGCATCGGAGGACGGCTCCGGTAAAGAGCAGGAGCAGACCGGGGAGGTGAAGAAGAAGCCGTGCAGGGCCTGTACGGACTTTAAATCGTGGATGAAGGTCCAGAAGAAACAGACGACAGCTGCTACACAGGTGACGGGAGGTCAAGGCGGGTTTTTTGGGTTTTTTTTTTTTTGGAGGATCTGTGGAGACGCTTGTTGCCATAAAACTCGGTTTGACCAGATGATGATTAATGATCTGGGTTCAGTTGCTTCAGCGTCACTGTGTCAGAGCTGCGGTGCTGCATTACAGCGTTTACCTGCGTGGTTGTTTAACCTGCTCCTAACCTGTGACGTCAGAGGCCATTTACAACAAGTATAGAACATATGTATGACTTTCATCATCGATCAGTCTGCAGATGGTTTTCTCGATTCATTAGTTAATAAATAATAATAATAATCTTTATTTATACAGCACCTTTCAAAACACAGGTAATCTTTGTTTGCTTTACAAGACGAGATAAAATTGAGGATGAACAATAAAAAATGAATGATAAACAAAACATTTAAAAACAGTTTCAAGGTTTAATGCAGTTGGCTTCACTGCCTGTGTCAATATGAATTACCAGCTTATTGACTCTGCTGTGTTGGAACGTCTACTTTCACCCTCCAGGAGACAGGAGCTGCTGAGTCAGAGCCACAAGAAGACCCACAGTGTCCACTGGACAGGGGAGAGCTGGGGCGAAACACCTGGTCCTTTCTGCACACCATGGCAGCGTATTACCCCGACCGTCCGTCTTCCACCCAGCAGCAGGAGATGGGGCAGTTCATCAACCTTTTCTCCAAGTTCTTCCCCTGTGATGAATGTGCAGAAGACCTGAGAGAAAGGTCAGACCACAGCGCTCCTGTAGATTTAATATACAGTCACATATCAGGCGTTCAAGTAGAAAGACTCACTGAAAGGATCTTAGCAGTCATTTTGCACATTTTATTTTACTTTACTTTTTTATCTTCAAATCACAATACTGCTGACCAGAAGGCCACATGTGTTTTAGTAGGTTTTAGTATGGTATGTAAATCAATGTAAAGAGACCTAAACCCCTCTGGAGTCTTGGGAAATACAATAATCATGTTTGATTTACATGAATATAACTTTATTTATGTGGTCATGTCGAGACGAGCTGAGAAAACCAGCTGAAAATGCTGATGACATGATCTAATACACATCATTTATTAAAAGAAAGCTCTAAAATACTAAGTTTCTAACATTAATTTATATTTTCAGTTAGAGAAAAAAAAGTTAAAGAATTAAATTGCTTTACATTTTTTACAACGTTAAACTGAAGATTTGTAAAATTTAGTCTCCTCCTGTGTTATTTTTCTGACATCCTCACACTGCACAAAAAGAGGATCCAGAGTTTGTGCAGAAAAAAAAAGGAGACTGTGTATGTGGAGTAAGAAGTTGAAAAGATCGACCCTGACTCCAGAGCGTTAAAACCAAGTTTCCTCTCCACAGATTAAAAACCAATCAGCCGGACACCAGCAGCCGCCACGCTCTGTCCCAGTGGTTCTGTCGTCTCCATAATGGCATCAACATCCGGCTGGGGAAGCCTGAGTTTGACTGCTCCCGTGTGGACGAGAGGTGGAAAGACGGATGGAAAGATGGTTCCTGTGATTGAAGGATTGTGTCGGGACTGAGCTCGCATCTCTGTCGTGGAGAGACTGATGAGAATGAGTCTATCTCTGTGGTTAGTTAACACAACTGCTCTGGTAATAAAACATAAGGATACATAACAAATGTGCATTCCTCTCTGTTTCTCAAGTCACGGCTACGACTCACGGTAAAAACAAGTTTCACTGAATCTGCTGTGATTTCAGGTTATTGAGATTTTTTAAAGATGTGGGATTCAGATTCTACACGCAGTCTTTTGTGAAATTGAAAACGTGCAGGGACACATCTTCTCAACGCTCCCTTTAAGATTTATTTGCTGTTTTACTGCTTCGCTGCGTTACCAGGCAGACTGTGACCTGAATATCTGTGCACACGCTGAACTGTTTATTTGTCTTACATTGAATTTCAGACTCGAGCTGGTGTTTTTGGATTGATAAATTATTTACATCTGTGTTTTCTGTTATTAGCTGCAGTTTGGAATCGTGTTTGACCCAGAGTAACCTCAACAGCAACACAAACTCTCATATATTCTTAAAATGTGTGAAAAATATTTATCACAAAACTTATATTTTACATGGTAATGATTACAGACTGTGTCTTCATTGTAATACCTCTGTGTGTGTGTTGTGAGGTGCTTTACCTGGAGAGTATGTTTGTTTTGTTTTTGCATAATTCAGTGCTGAAATAAGAAATATTCTAATTTTCTAATTAAATTATCATTTAAGTGTGATCAGTTGCTTGTTTCTCTCTTTCATGTCAGTGTAAATAGTTTTTCAGTCATACAAAATAATCACTTTTGAAGACTTTGGTAGCATCATTATTATTATTATTATTATTATTATTATTATTATTATTATTATTATTATTATTATTAATAAACACCTGTTAGTTGCAGAACCATGTGAAACTATTCTCCACAGTCAAGGACTTAGAGGCCGACAGCTCAGCCATGTGACCTGCTCTGTGTGTGTGTGTGT